TCGCCAATACCAAAGCTAATACAACCTCATACCATTGTTATTATATTAACACTTCTGCCTAAATTAATTTCCATGCTTGACAAACTAGGTCATCCATCTGGGTTAGCAGTGTAAACTACTCCGAATATGTACTAGCTTGTTCTAAGCTACAACTATAGCTTTGGAGGTGCTCCATCAAAATTGCCAGTATACTGAACAACATACATAGAAAGGACCAACAACAAGTTACAAGAAGGAAACACTAGGATCAAAATTTTAAAGTTGGAGGAATTGAAACCAGATGCCAAACAATAGAAATGCTTAACTGCACAGGGAAACCACAAACTAGAAGCCCCTTCACAAAGCATAAAGAAATGATATTTGGTCTTACCCATATTAGCTCAATAGCCACCTATGCAACTTCTGCTTGCAACTGTTTCTATTCACTGCCAGGAGTACGGTTACCTGAATCACAGATGAGCTTCCACAAGTTTTCCCCAACCTGGAACAAACAATATTATTAAACAAGTTTATCCTGATCCAAACCACCGAGGTCCAAAACTGAAGACCACTATATATAAAACTGATTTATCTGTGGCCAAAGACAGCTATAGCGCAGGTCTTGAACATATTGAAATTCAGGTTAGACGAAATCTGAATAAATGTTCAGTGACTAATCGACTTGGAAAATGAACTAGGATGAAATTCATAGGACAATCAAACATCCTGTACAGATGCGATATGACACACATTCGCTGCCATTATATGGACCACATAAAGAAAGGCTTCTGGAAACCAGACAATGCCCTGGAAAACCTGAAAGGGTAGTTCTTTTTTTCCCTTGATCTCCTAAAAGGTTATCTAAGAGATTGGAAATTTATTGTATATACCATGTGATTTTATCCGTCACCTCGTTCTCACATACTCTTCTCCACTGCTATCTTTGTCGGACACTGTGACGTAGCTATTCCAAATTTTCTGATATGTTGAATCTAGATGCAAAGAAACTTCTGTCCAAACAGACTCCTATAAGTCACTTGAACAGATACCAAAAAGCCTAACGATTATGTAGAACACAACACAATCTTGGAGTCCTAATTGCTTCTTTTTCACTTTAATTACCTTTCAGAGTACTAACACTTCAAATTCCCCATGTTTTAATAGAAATGAAGGGATGCTTGATTAAGAGTCCTTACTGGAATTCATAAGGATTCATTGTACCACCAGCGTTATCATTTTTGTTGACATAAATTGCAAATTAGCAATTCATATGGGAGGGTAAGGGTAGTGTTCAATGGGTCCCATATTTGTATTTTTAATTTATTTTTTTTTATCTTTTTCCTTTATTGGAATGTATATTTACCACTTTGTACAAGAAAGTTGTTGGAATAGTGTTTGAATTTAAGGGCAAAACCATCACGCAGATTTTGATGGATAAATTTGTAATTTAGCTTTTGACTTGAAGTGTTCCCGCTTTTAATATAGTATGATGTTCTTCACATTTAGAAACCACCAAAGCATTTCCACAACAAATGCCACCACGTCCCCTCCCCTAACTTTGGATATACTCTTGTTTCTTGGGTTCTTTTTGGGGAGTGGGGGAGGGAGGGAGAGGGTAGGAGGAGAGAAGATGCATGTGCGGTCCTTGGTGGTGGAGTAAGTGAATCACAGGTCTGCTTCAGGCTAGAGAGAGAGAGAGACAGGGAACATCTAATCAAACTTAAATAAACTCTTCCTAATCAAGACTTCAAACTTTAATCACATTAATACATTTTAATGAAGAGGTAGAGTAAGTTTTCTTTTTTTTCCTTTCAATTTCATCCCTTCTTTGTCTGTCGGATCATCATCTGATTTAATCTACTTTGGTCCTTCTCCATCCTTCATGTTACGCACTAGTATCTCCACTTTATCAAAGAAAATAGTGCAGAAGAGTAGCCGTTTCAGATACCCTATTGGTTGGAGATATCCATGAATACGCACAACAAGAATTTTCATAATGGAAATCAATTACTTCCCTATAATTCATGAAGGATTTGCAGCTGAAATCTAAAAATATGACTATCATTTCACCTGAGTTCAAGATACTACTGTAGAAACAGGTGCTTGAGAAGTACCACTGACTGTGCTTGAGAATGTGCCAAGAACTCTGTGCTGCCTGGGACTACCAAAGCAGATTCTTCATTTCGGTGTTCATGCTGGGTGGTAACATCAACACCTCGATTTGGAATGCTCCACTCTACATTTCTGTCAATTGTCTCACTCCACTCTGCATTACTTTCTCTAGTCTTGATGAGCTCTTTACTTCTTTCTCTAGTCTCACATCACTCTGAAGACAGATACAATTCCGTTCAGGATGTCAAGATGTACTGTGTTCTTCTATTTCATTTTTGGTGTAAAGAAAGTCTTGTAGAGGATATAGAATCTTCGGTAGACATGTTAGGCTTTTTGTAGTTAAGATAGATCAAGATTGATCTATTATTCCCTGCACATATGGAAAGGCACTGCCTTAGTGCCTTTTTTTAAATACAAATGTTACCGTTCTCAAAAAAGAACATCGCTCTGCATTTCTATCTCCAATCTCACTCAAGTCTGCATTTGTCTCTAGTCTCCACACCAGGACATTTGCAGATTGGATGGACGCATTTTGCCGTACTTGAGTGGTGAAAGATGGTTTCTTGCTGATTGAAGGTGAACGACATACGAGACAAATTAACACATTCAGTGTTGTTCAACAGTCTACCAACGGAAAACAAAAATGAATAAGCATATATATAGCTATAGGGCAGGGGTGGGTTGCTCTGATGGTAAGCACTCTCCAACCAAGAGGTTGTGAGTTCGAGTCACCTCAAAAGCAAGGTAGGGAGTTCTTGGAGGGAAGGATGCCGAAGGTCTATAGGAAACAGCCTCTCTACCCTAGGGTAGGGTAGGTCTGCGTACACACTCCCCTCCCCAGACCCCACTTGTGGGATTATACTGGGTTGTTGTTGTTGTTGTTGCATCTATATAGCTATAAAGGAAACAATGAATTTAGTTCATTGAGCCCTTACCTCAGGTTCAACATAACCAGCACTGTATGCTGCATCGAGAATAACAGCTATACCCACACAAGCATTATTTAATGTTGCATTTACGGTTTGCGGATATAACGCATGAAGGTGACTATATGAAGTACACCCAGAGCATATTGAAGCAAGTCATGCTTATAAAGTTCAACAGTGCCTATTGCAGGGAAAAATAGTCAATAAATAAGAGAACATCTATTAGTACAACAGAGAAACCATTAAAATACATACACTACCTGACATAATTCCAACATGATAATATGCCCGTTAGAACTCAAAAAACTTGTCAACCACATGCCAAAGGGCCCTTACAAGTTACAAGTGCTGGGCCAAGTTCACGATCTTTCTGTATTTGATGTAATACTGCATCCTATAACCTCATTACTAATGTCAAGAGGCTTATATGTAGCTCTAACAGACACGATATTTCGGCAGTACTTCATACATATTTATTAGAATGAATTGAACCAGCAACAGAAGATTTGCTCTGAAGTACTGTCCAAGTGCGACACGTGTGATAAGCTATTTGTTTTTCATAGGAGGTCAGCACTTCTGGAGCAGTTAACGCCCCAGAAACTCCAGATCTTACTGATGCAGCACCATGCAGAAGATTAAGCTGTCCCTGTAAGCAGACCTGAGCATCAAAAGTATCTAGAGCAGCTCTGAAAACGAATGCAGCAGCAGAAAATAAGGCTGTTTTTTACCCTGGCTTGATCTTGGGGACACTCAAGAAGCTGAAGGGCGCAAGCACGTTCCATTATCCCCTGAACAGTCAGAAGTTAAAGGCTTCTCTGAATCAACAACTAAAACAACAAGACTCACAAGAACATCTAGAATATGTCACTAAATATTAGGACATAAGGATATGATAAAACCAAGGGCAAAAACCGCCAAACTGTTAAATCAAAGAGTAAAAGGAAAAGAGTATACACACAGACACCTGAATTGAACCTATAGTGAATAAGCATGAGGGAAGGACAAAAAAGTCTGAGGAGCTCTTGGACAGAGAGCAATTTTTGCACGCCACCACGATCCTCAAATACTGCAGCAAATTCATGATAAACGGCGAATGTACTGATCAGCATTCAGCTTCTGCATATCAGGAAAAATAAGAGAAATCTTTGAACTCTCTTTATATTAAGAACTTTGCTGCAATAGCACAAGACACATCTATCCCCTTTTCGTTCGGCACAGGTTCAAGCACTTCAACATACTCTCCCAAAACAACAAGACATTGTATGCACAACTTCTCTTTCAAGAAGGAAGTTTAAGACCACCAGAGTAAACACATTGAAGAGTGACACTTACAGCATGAGTAAGTGTAAATTACTGATAAACCAAAGAGAAATGTAGAAAGCAGCAGCAAATTCTAATTTCTGTATCAAAGAGAACATTTCCAACCACACAGAACTCATTATTCCTGTAAAGATGAAATACGATAGAAGAAGAGGCGACAGAGAAGTAAAGACAAAAAAAAACTGTCAAAAACAAATCACAACAATAAAAATAATAGAGAAGGAAGCTTGACCGACTATGAGTTTAGTTCTTGAAGTAGGTAATGATTCTCCTTAGGACAGTAGGTTTCCCAATAACAAGTTCCAGGATTGAATGCTAAGTTGTTCAGTACACAACAAATTAAAGATATTTGTATTCTCTAAACTGAATGAGATAAATAAATTAGTCAGGGAAAACAGGTAACTGAGTCTTGTAGTTCTGCAATAAGAAAAAAATGTAAGTACGCTAATAGAGGGAGCTGCATCATGGGGTAAACGCAAGAAGATATTTGGTTATTGATCTAATACGGAATGCATCTGGAGTTCCACTAACTCCATTTGCACTTTGTCTCACGTAAATGGTCTATGAAGACATACTTTCAAATAGAGTCAGTGGCATCCTCTCTGCAAAACTGATCTGGAACGAAAGGAAAAGGGAGGGAAGTGGGAGGAGTGCTTCTCCAAATAACCAAACTAGTGCTAACATGATTGAGAACGAAGATACAATTAATGTGAATCTTTCTGGAGAAAACTCAGAAGAAATAAAGAATTCATTGATTTCTAACAGAAAAAGCTAGTTTCTTATTCATTTTATCACAAGTTTCAGTTGAAATCCCGCAATCTCTTCTTCAGCACATCCATTGATTTCTTACGGGCACTCTGCTTTGTATTTCTGCTTGCAAGACTTCCAAAGAGTCCATCAGCTGAGTCCTTATACTTGTCACAGATAGTGGCAACCTTTTTATAATCTAGAGCATTATAGTTCTTCTCCCTTATGACAGGATTCATAAAGTTCTCTGGTTGACTGCTTAGAAGGAGGTTTATCAATTGTCTAGCTTCTAGCAAGCAACTTCGAAAGCTGCCGTCCTTGTAAACTTCACTCAACCCAGTACTGTGAAACCTCTCATCGGCAAATGACTCCAATACTTTCAAATCATGGTTGATGCTCATTACTGCATTAGCATTGAATCTCTTTATCGAGTCACTGAGAAAAGTTCCCACAATTGAATTGGAGATATGCTCAAGAGCTCCAATCCCAACTTTATACAAAGCATCAAGAGGTAAAATTTGTTGAGCAGTGGACAAGAGGGTGTCAAGATATATAACGACCTCATTCATGCATTCATTGCCATTCTGAGGTGCATCTTCTGCTGTCCAATGGACATTTTCTGTGAGTGACATGAATTCATCCAATTTCGCATTTACTAAGCTTAGCAGTGCAATATAAGCAGCATCTCTTGAAGTTTTGAGGACAATCTTAGCTGTTAAACTGCCTTGAGGCCTTTCAACTGAACGGACTGGAATGCCACATTGTTGGGCTGCATGTTGAAGAAAAAAATCACAAGCCCTTTCTAAAACAGCTATATTTGCAGCAATTTGCATTGCCTGAGACACACCAGTAGTACCGCTGTAAATAGTCTCAAGTAGGACTTCATTCAGTACATCAATCAAGAGCTTATCCAAATACTTTTTGACAAAATCAAAAAAGTTCATTTGGCTCCCATATGATAAATAATTGACAGAATCTTTGATGAATGACTTAACAATGCGACAGCATTCAGGCACCATGGAAGAGAATGGAGCAATAAAAGGGAAAGCTGGCATTATATCAGAGGTCTGTAGATGGAACAATAGGACATTTGCCTGATAATCTGACTCCCTCTTCATTACCATCTGCTCAAATGTATCATTGGTGACTACAGCAGTTATTTGTTGCCTACACTCCGCCAAAAGAAGTTCATGATATTTTTCTCGACTACTATTTAGAGTCCCAAGAATTGGGCTCACTTCATAACCATACTGTCTGAGGGTTGCCCCAAGAAGAGTCACATAATCCTTGACCATGAGGAGATGGCTAGCAGTATCCATGTGGGAAAATTGCTGTTCCAAGAGTGATGTTACTTTACCAACAGCTGTTTCCCACATTGTCTCAACCTGATTTGGCAAGAGCAGCCCACCAGCAGTCCTTAATACCCGATCCTCGACAATGAAATAACCTGCAATCTGAGCCAAGAAGGTTTGATGGGATTCTAGAAATGGTTGTGACAAGGAAATCTGCAAATCTGAACTCAGCTGCAATAAGCGGTTCTTGTAGTAATATTCACGAAACTGTTCTTGGATCCCCAGACAACCATGAATGTGATATGCTCGATAAAGAGGCGTTAAGTCAAACTTTAGAACAGATTCTTCATTAATCTCTTCAACATCAAGGGTATAAGTGAAGTCTCCCAAACCCAAACAACTTTGTTCCTCAGCTTTTCTTTGACGGGCTAGCATATCCTCATCCCTCTGACGAGCAGATGCAGCATATCCTATTGCTGTTTGCCCGATATCCTTTCCTGTACTCCTTATGTGAACAAGCCATTCATTAACTTCACTAGTTACTCTCTTCTCAATGTGCGATTTGATCAGTGGTATTCTCTTCTCTATCATAGTCCTGAGTGGCTTGACAGGAATATGCTGCAAATAATTTTTCTCAATGAGATCAACAGCCTTCAGAGCAGGGTAAAACCGACCTTCAGAAATGTGGTTGTTACATTTGGCACAAAGTTCCAACACTTGGACACAGTTGCCTGACATCTTAATCGCTTCTGTAACATTTTTCTTAATTGAATAAGATTCAAGAAACTCTTCAAGTTTTAAAAGAAGGGTACTCCCAACATCTTGCAGCTTCAGATTATCAGTTTGCAACTCAGCTTTTAACTCTTCTGCATCAACCAAGACACCACGCAGCTCATCCACTGCAACAATAAATTCCTCATAGTGAAGCTTACAAAGCTCCTCTATTTCAACTTCTTTCTTTTTGACGACATTCTTAAGCTGCTGTAGAAGGGCATCAGGCTTCCCGCTTTCAAAAGAAAGCCTGACCATAGGACCTAGATCTTCCCCATTATTGATCATAGTCACAAGAACAGAATCTTCTGCTGTGGCTGTGTCTCCATTTTCTGTGGCCGTTCTCCTCTTGGTTTTAGCACTCATGGTTGCTACCTCGCCCTTCACATTTCAAATTCAAGAGACTTCAGTCAATATGTGACTAAGTTTCTACCCAAGATTCCACCAGAGTAAGAAGCTTAAAGAACACATCATTTGCAAAACAACTTGTACAAATTCACATCTTATAAAAAAATTGTACAAATGCACAGATCCATATCTTACTAGTTTCTCTGCAATCAAGATGTTTAATTTTTTTTTAAAGGCAGCGAAATGGACAATTAGCAAAGTGTTTAACATCGACGCAGAATTAGATTTCAAACATTAAGCGAAACAAGAAATACTAAACACACTAAAATCACCATATCACAAAAAATAAGCCAGGATACCTCAATTTTGGGTCCACATAAGAAAATATCAGCCACTATATTAGATTGAACCCATAGAAGGAAGAAACAAACAAACAATATAAGCAATCAATGTTATAAGCAAATAACCTCCTTTACTTAATCTCAACCCAGTAAGCAAGCAAATAGCAAATACAGCAAAATCATCAAATTTCAAAGCATAAACCAAAATCTGAACATAACACACAAATAAGCTGCAACGCCATTAGCAACAAAAAATATAAAGTTTTTAACTTTAACGCAAAAATTGAGTAAAAAACACTGAATACAATCAAGATCGTCATATCACATACAATGTGCAAAAAAGACCCAAATGGGTCTACATTGTAAAACTTACCCTTGATGGAAAATGAAAACAAAATCAGGAGAGGAAAAAAAAAACGAAACAAGAACGAAGCTGAAATGAGATAAGGGATTTCACTACTTACCCAAAATTAGAAGAACTGGTTCCAGAAAGTGCTGTTTTTGCCTTTCTCTTTTCTGATATAAATAAAGAATCTTGGGTAGATTTGCTACCTTGTGATTTCCTTCAGTGGCATTTCTTTCTGTTCGGCACCTAATGCAGTGCTCTGTTTTCTCAGATGTTCTTTAGGTTTGATTTGGGAATAATAATAAAAATAAAATGAATTTTAAAATAGCTGGAATTATTTTCTTATTATTGATTTATTCGCTATTCCTTTTTCTCTTTATTCGGACAACATGTGTACTGAATATCAATGTCGTCAAACGGAGCAGAGATGGTTTCCCTTTGAAGCAAAGCCAATAACTCCCAGCACATGTTTAGGTGTGACACCTACCGTAAGGGATTTATGTTACAGCTTGTTTGACTTGTTATTACGTGTCATTTCATAATGTATTTTATTGTATTGTTTGATGAATACAATGTTTGAATAGATTGTGTTGTTTGTATCGTTTCATGATGTCACGCACAAACAAGAATAAACTTGCAATATTACTAAGAAAAAATAAGATATTGAGTAGAATTATTATATAAAAAAGTAGGATAAAGAATAAAATATAATTATTTAATAATAAAGAAGGGCAAGATGAGAGGAAAAAAAGCAAAGAAACGACGTCACCACATCAAATCCATCGTTTAATAAAGTGGCATTTTTCGTCGTTACATAACTATGAATTTAACGATACGATACAATAAAATTAAAGTAACAATCAAAACAAACATTATATTTAAAGTAACAATACGATAGGTAACAACCATCCAAATAAGTTGTTACTATTAAGGAGCCGTTTTGGTACGATGGATAAGCAAAAATAATTCTTGGATAATAATTTAGTATCGCCTTATTCTTTATTTGGTTACTAATCCTGGAATAAATTATTTAAGGATTAAATATAGTACCAGAGTAACTTATACTTGCCAAAGGGTGAAAATTAGAATAGTAATTTTAGGATGGCAAAATACATAAGTTGCCACCTGACCTATGACCCAAATCCCCCTTACACACTTTTTGCAAACAAAAATTATTTTACACACGCAATCTTTCTAAAGTGTATCTAAGACACACTACTTTTGCCAGATGAGGCGCGCGTGTTTAATAAATAAAAGTGAGCGTGTCAGATCTATACATATTTTGTCAACATGCCCATCTGCAGCTTTATTCCAACGGCTCAGATTTAATAAAGTCGATCTGATGGCCTACATTATTCTTTTCTTTTTATCTTTTTTCTTTTTACCAAAAAATATCTTTCTAGCCTCCATTTCTTTTTCCTCAAGGTACTGTTCACTCAATCTCATTGGATACCACAATAAACTCCGGCGAAAGAACTTTACGACGCATGTTATATTTTTATTTCTTTTGTTTGCTAAAATATACTCTGGCGAAAGAACTTTGTGGCGCAGGTACAACGCCACTATTATTTCCAGCCATTAACGGCGTATCTCGCTGTTAATTACTTCGATCATTTTCTCTACTCTAGAAGCTTGTCGGTAAACTAGTCATTTTTAAATTTTTTCTTTTCCTTTTTTATTTTTTCTTTTATAATGAGAGGAGCGTATGACCGGAATAAAGGGCCAAAATAAGTTTGACTTTGATTTTGGTTGCAGATTTTGAATCTACAGTTGCAGATTTTGATTTTAATTTTGGTAAATAGAAATTTCAAAATTTGATAAGTTTGGGTGCTTCAATTATATGGATAGGTTCTTGATTCATGTTAATATTTTGTTCTGGTGGAGATTTTCCATGGCTGTTGGAGTTTAGAGGAGGAGGTCGATGGGTATGGGGGGTCAGAAGAAGTTGAGAAACGTGGGGGAGGGGGCTTTGTTTCTTTTTTGTTTGTTTTCTTTTAAATATTATCAGTTGGTGTAAATTTAGTATTTTCTTTTTTTTTCTTGAGTTAGGACACGTGTCACGACCTTATTGGCGCGTGACCTTACACATATTTTGAAAAGCTGGTCAAGAAAAAAGTGGTGTGTACTAGCTACACTTTAGAAAGGTTGCGTGTGTAATATTATTATCATCCACAGAAAGTGTGTAAGGGGGATTTGGGCCATAGGTCAGATGGGTACTTATGTATTTTGCCTTTCATGATAAGTTATTCTAGGATAAAGCAGTAAAATTGATAATCTCAGGATTAAAACAACATATCAAACAGTCAATAAGAAATAATACCAGGATTCTTATCCCAGCATATTAATCCCACTAAACTTTAACATAATTAATCTCACCATTACTTGTCTTCAAATCCAAGACCCCTTATTGTTTAACCTCATCCCTACCCCCCACCCCACCCCACCAACCCAAAGAAAGAAAAGGGTAAAGTTTTCATAATGGGGTTAAGTATGTGACTTTGGATTATAAAACGGAAAAGGTTCAGATATGCCATTGAACTGTAAGAAATAGCCTATTTATGTCATCCGTTAAAAGTTGGATATATTTTTGCCACTAACGTTACACTATTGGCTCATATATGCCATTTTTCACTAATGGAACTCTACTACTACTACCATATTTTGCCATGTGGCATCATCTAAAACCTTCATCACTTACCACCCCTCTTCCCTCACCCCCCCCCCTCACGTGTGGCATAGATAAGCCTTTTCATCAAGTTCAATGCCATATTTGGCCATTTTTATCAAGTTCAATGGTGTATTTGAACTTTTTCCCAAGCCATAACTATGTCCTAACCATTGTAACACCCCAAATTCACCATTAAAACACATACACTCTTAATTCACACACTCATATGTACTTCCATACCCCAACTACACTTCATTAGTGTACTCTCTTTTAAGCTTGTCTCTTTTTTTCTTAAATAATTTTTATGTAATTTTTTAAGTCTTTTTAAGAGCTAATGCACAAGAAATTTGTGAATGATGTAAAATAGGATTAGATTCATAGTCCAATTAAATTAAATAAGAAAATATAATTTTTTCATAAAAAGATAATGTTTTTTATAATATAACGGACAAACTTGTCCTTATAAATTTGTTACATAAAAATATGAGTTTAGCACATAAAATTAGAAAAAACGAAGGTTTTATATAGGAATATGATGCTAAAAGGTCGAAAGTCATGCATCGATTAAAGAATAGGGAAAATGCTCAAATATGCCACTGAACTTAATGAAATGGCTCATATATGCCACTCGTAAAGTGGGAGAGGGTGAGCGGGGAGGGGACTGGTAAGTGCTAAAGGATTTAGATAATGCCATGTGGAAAAATCTGGTAATAGCAGGGTTCCTTTAATGAATAACAGCATATATGAACCAATAATGTAACGCTGGTGGCATCAATATATCCAACTTTTAAAGTATAGCATAAATAAGCCATTTATTAAATTCTGATGGCATATTTGAGCCATTTTCGAATTTAAAAAGTATCCCCAATTTAGTTAAACCATATGACGGTTTGGTAAATATATTATTTATAAAATATTATAATTTAAGGATAATTTATGCAATAATTAATAATAAAAGGGTATTTATCTATATCTATATTCTATATATTATTAAAAGAAAGGAAGTCTAGCCTAGGATTATGACAAGTGGCAATATAGGAGAATGTCATGTGTTAGTTATTAGAACAAAACTTAGTTATTAGTTATTAGTTTTAATAATAAATTAAAATACTTAAATATCTATTATTTGAAGAAGGGGTAGTTATTTACTCAATTCAAATAAGTAATTAATAATTAGGAAGTTACCATTAGAAATAAAGTTGCGTAAGAACCTAAAATTAAGGAACATCCCACGAACTCCCATCCCCCAAAATGTGATCTGCATCCCCTTCTTTTTTCCCTGATATTTCTTAATAAATTAACTAAGTATCATTCTAAAAGATATTACAGATTTTTTACATTAACTTTTTAAATTTAAAAATAAATTTTAGTTATACTTTTTAAATTAAAGACAATTACAACTTCTATTCACGTGTTAGGATTATCCAATATATCATCCAACCTAAACTCAAATTTAACCGCTATGTTGTTATCTAATTATCTTCGATCCTCAAATATCTATAAGAAAAGAAAGATGCTTGAAGATGCAAAAACATGATTTTCACCTTTACACGTAAATAAATTTTGCTTATATATATTAAGTTATTTATTTTATCTATCTATATATTATTAAAAAGAAGGAAGTCTAGCCTAGGATTATGACAAGTGGCAACGTAGGAGAATGCCATGTGTTAGTTATTAGGACAAAACTTATTTAATTAGTTATTAGTTTTTAATTTTAAATTAAAATATTTAATTATCTATTATTTGAAGAAGGGGTAGTTATTTACTCAATTCAAATAAGTAATTAATAATTAGGAAGTTGCCTGATGATAGGCTATAATTACATATTTTAGTCGCTTATTACACTCTAATTTACTGCACTTTAATTGAGTTTGAGCTTTAATTGTTAGTGTTTTGCACTAATTGTGTATTTTATGCCTTGTAGGAGTGATTCCGAGCTATATAGATGTTATGGAATGAATTCAAGTGATTTGGAGTTTTGAAGTCTGAGTAAAAGCCCAAGAAATTAAGCGTGGATCGTGTTCGGGGATCAGCAGATGATAGTTAAGAACG